TCCGCGTCTGGAAGGTGGGCTCTCCCAGGCCTGTCCTCCCAGCCTCCGAGGGGCGTCCCCTGCGGAAGGGGGGTGTCTGTGGCCGCATACTCCGGGGTGTCAAAGCCAGCATGCTGGGGCTCCGGGCCAAGGCGCCTCCTGAAAGCGTCCCGAGGGCCGCCCGGATGCAGCCCGGCCCGGGGTTGGGGGGGGGCCAGCCCCGAGCCTCCACAAACCCACCCACCGCGCCCCGCGCGACCCCCGGCTCTGGGATCCGCACGCCCCTTTCTGCAAGGCAGGGAGCAGTGTGGATTAAACATATATATTTACATTTTTAATTGTTGAAGGAACCTCCCTTCGGGGAAGGACCAGGGGGCGCTCGGGGCTGCGACGGGGCGGGGGTCTCGCTCAGCCGCCGAAGGCCGGAGCTTGGCGGCGGGGCTGGCTCTTGGGCCCCTCTGGAGCCGCGCGCCTGACGCGGGTTTCGTTGCGCCGGGGAAGTCCTCCGCCGGCAGCGCCCGGGCCCCAAGCGGTCGGCGGAGCTGGGCAGCGGGGCGTCCTCCAGCTGCGCAGCCCGCCGCGTCCCCGTCCCCCATCCTCCAGAAGACCGCACCCCGCGTCCTGCGGGCCTGGCCTCAGTTTCCCCGACTGCTCACTGCTGGGCAGACTCGTAGTCTCCTCACTAGCTCATGAAGGAGGAGGGGTGATCTCGACAAGGCCGAGAGAAGAGGGGTCGGGCCTGGCGTAGGGGGTGCATTCGTGTCCTCGGTCCCCTCTGGCTAAGCCTCCAACTGGGCCTCACCCTTTTTACAACCGGGTCGTTCCAGGCTCAGCCTCCGGCCCGGCTCCGGACCTGCGCCGCGCTGGCGGCGCGCGGAGGAAGCGAAAGCCGGTGGAGGAGGAGGGAGAGGAGCGAGCAGACCTCGGGCGCCCTGGGATCCCTCAGCCCCTGCGGGTCACTCTCCAGATGGGGAAACTGAGGCGGAGACGGCGGTCCGGGCGCCCCGCGGCTCCTCCCGGGCCCGGCCTCGACCGCCCACCCCAGAGTACAGTGGTGGTGGTGGGGGGGGGGGTTCTCTCCTCTCACTGTGTCTCTGTAACTCCCGGCCGCCGGAGGCCGCGCCGCCAGGGGAGGGGACAAGGACCCCGGGCCCCAGCGACACACACACACACCCGCGCCCCGCGAATGCCCAGCCCCGGTGCCCCCGCGCAAACAAGAGCCGTGTTTGCCGAGAGCGCGGCGGGCGGCGCGGCCCGGGAGCGATGAGGATTCGATGGAGCCGCGCGCTGCGGCGGGGGCAACGGAGCCCGGGCGGGCGCGGGGATCGATCCGAGCGCAGCTGTCGCTGACACGCCCGCGGGAGCATCCACCCCGCGGGCCGGCGCCCCCGGGCGCCGCCGACTGCGGGCGAGAAGCTCGGGACGTCCGGCCCGCCAGGGGCGAAGCCCCAACGTCGTGGCGCCCCAGGTCCGGCCCTCGGAATGTCCCCGCTCCCAGGGTCCGAAAGTGGAACCTCCGCGCACCGCGCGCGCAGCCCCGCCAGGATCCCCCGCAGGCCTGAAAAGCCTGGCACCCTCCCCGCAAAATAAATAAAGTCCCCTGACCCCGCCCGAACGAAGGCGCCGAAGTCTGGCGGGAGGATGCGGGCCTCCCAGGCGCGCGCCGGCCAGGATTTGGGGCGCCCGCAGGTTTGGGGGACTGGAACTGGGGGCCGGCGCGGGTGTCAGGCTCGGTGGGGCTGGAGGGGGGCTATTCATCGCCACTATTTATATTTATTAAAACCTTGCTCTAATACGAACAGGGGTGCGCAGCGGCCGGTGACTTCCATTTCCGTGAGGACACACACCGAATCACAAAATCAGCCGCGGACCGTGGAGGGACCTAGGGGAGGCCAGGAAAGGGAAAACCTTGGGGATCCCTCCATTTTTTTTCTGCGATGCGGAGCCAGAACCAGGGGAGAGGAGATGGACGACACTTGATTACAGGAGAGTTTCGAGCTTGGGAGGGAGGCGTAGTTGAAGCCGCGGGGACCGCTGGGCTCCCCGAGTGGGGAGGAGGTCCGAGCTGGGCACAGAGAGGGTGGGCGTCGGCCGGGGGCAGCCCAGCGTGCGCAGACGCGGGGTCTCGGGGTCGATCTCCAATTTTTCTGCGGGGGGGGGGGGCGGATACTGAAGCCGGAGAGCTTCCGCGACGTGGCCAAGGTCCCGGTAGGAGCGAGGATGGGGGTCTCCCTGCCCCCATCCAGCCCACCGCTCCCCCGCCCGCAATTTGCCTAATGACCCAAGATCGATCAGGGCCCGAGCCACCCGCCTGCCCCGTAGCCGGCTCAATTCTATTTTACTAATTACTAAAAGGCCGCTGGTGGGGGAAGCCGGTTCAGGGGTTCCAGGGGGCCTCCCTCCCTCCATCCAGGGGGCCTCCTCCCTGGATGCCGGCAAATTTCTGTTCCATCTCCCGGCAGGAGCGCAGCTTCTGTGGGGAGCGAGAACCCTGCTCCCCGAGGGAGTCCAAGTCCAGGCCAGCGTGAAGGAGGCGGGGGGCTGCTTGCCCGGGGCCGACGGCCCTGCCCCTGCCGAGTCCAGGTGCTTGGGGTGTCCGGAGGCCGCAGAGAGGAGGGGGCTCAGTCTCCAAGCCACTGGCTGGAGTCTTTTCTTTTAAAATGGACGCCTTTCTTCGTTAGAAAAGCCACACATGCTTGTTATAAAAATGAAGTGATAATCGAGCCAGAGAAAATATATAAAGAAGGAAGCAAAAGGCTGCCTGATCGGGACCCCCATGGCGTACCCCTGGGTGGACATTTGGGGGTACTTCCTTCCACCTTTGTTTTCCCACCCTGACTCCTCCGCCCGCCGGATCTGCACTTCTTGGGCCTGGGATGTGATCATTTTATGGAGGCTGATTGATTTTTAGATCCCACGATTATTTTTAATTACCTGTGATTGTTGGAGGGTAGGACTGGGGGGCTCCGGCTGGGGCTCAGCACTGTCAAACCCACCTCCTAGGCTCAATCTGCACGGGGGAGGGGGATGTTCAGTTGTCTGGACCTGCCCCTCTCCCCTCTCTGTCTTCCCACCTGGAAGATGGGTGTGATAATACATAACCTGGAATTACATAGAAACCCCGGAATGGAAAAGCCCATGGACCTGGACCTGGGGGAGGGTTAGCACTCACACAGCTCCTAGGAACCCAGGGCAAGCCAAGCCATGGCACTCTCCACCTTGGGCCCAAGGCACTTGGAAAATGGTGGCTTGACTCCCCCTCAGGGCTGGGTGAGGAGAGAGTGTGTGCCTGGTAGGTAAACAGTAGGTGGCTACTAAATGCTGAGTCCTAAGCACAAAGCACTGACCGGGGTCCCCTTTAACCCCATCCGGCCCCAGGACTTGGATCAGGCCGTTCCACTGTCTGACCCCTCCAAGCTGGGGTTCCTGATCATCCAGGCCCCCCAGCTCCCTTGTGCCTGGAGCCTGCAGCCCTCCCTCTCCCACTATGGTGGTCAGCACAGTGGTGCCTCTGGCTCAGAGCTAGGGCAGGCGGGAAAGCACTGTCCTCCCCATCGTGGAAGGGAAAACAGACACAAAGGGCTCTGCTCAGGGGCCAATCTCAGTAGCTGGTCCACATCCACAGGGGAGGAGGGTGGTGCTGAAGGTGGGGGGAGGGGTGGCCAGCCGTTTGCCTGGAGCAGGGGGGATGGCTCCCTGCTAGGGTCTTCTCTCCCCTGGCAGCTTACACCCCAGGTCCTCCTGCTGAGATGGGGGTGACTGGTGGGAGGGCGCTTCGGCAGAGGCCTCGCTAGTTTTCCCCCCAAAGGTTACCCTGTGGGGCTGATGATCTGGGGAAGGAGGAAGAGGTGGGGTTGATTTGGGGATTCCCTCCCCGACTCTGGCCTCAAGACAGGGCACCCTTTGGGGTCTGGCCTGGTCACATGCGTGCATCTTACCCCACTGGAGGGATCATAGAAGGGGATGTCTCTCTTGAGTGTGGGAGGCTCCCTGTTTCTCCCAGTTCCCAGGGGTCCCTGGGCCTCAGCTGTCTCCAGGTGGTGAGGAAAAGGAGCACCTTCGCTTCCCCACGCAAAAGAGAAACGCTGGCATTTGAAGCAGGGGCTTCTTAGGGAGCAGAGAGCACGTGTCCTCCGCCCGCCGTCTCTGCAAGAGGATGGGGGTTCTTTAAGGGTCACCCCACGCTGGGGATAGAGGAAACTAGAAGAAGGCGGAAGTGGGAGGTACCTTTGGCACCCCTGAGGACAGGTGCTCCACTGTACAGCTAGGGAAACTGAGGCCCAGGAACCCACACCTGGAAGCAGATCCAGACATTTGGGGCAAACAGGCCGTGACCCAGCCCGAGGAGGACCTGGTTTTTCAGCACCACACCCCCCAGAGAGGTGGGAAGGGGGCTGTGACTCCGTGTAGAGTGCTCGGTTAGGGGAAGCTGAGCTTACAGAGGGATCTGCCTCCTGGGGTCCGTGTGCGCGCCAGTGGAGGAGGGGAGCAGCTAGATGGCAGGCCCCCACCCAGCCACACTGCTACGCACTCCCTGGAGATGGGCTGGGGGGCGTCAGGCGGGAAAGGAACCTTCGTGACCCTCTGGGGAGAGACACAGAAAAAGAGAGGCAGAGATGAGGGCCCGTTGAGCCCGCTCAGGGCTGGGCCCCGGGGCGGGGGGGTGGGGCGGCGGCGCGGGCGGGCGGGCACCGAGGCAGGGGACCCCAGAAGCCCGAGTCTGGCCCACTCCGGCCGGCCTGGCGCTCGAGGGGGCCGGAGCGGGCGGAGAGCGAGGCGGCGGGAGGCGGCGGCCAGGGGAGCAGGTGGGCGGGGGTGCTGACGTCAGACCCGGGCCCGGGCGCCGGCGGCCGCTCCCCCGCCACATCCTGGTGGCCGCGCTCGCAGCCGGGCCGGGCGGTGCGCCGCGCAGCCGGGCAGCCTCGCGCGCAGCCACCGGGGAGCGGGCGGGGGCCATGCGGCGGCCTTGAGCGCGCCGGGCCGGCGCCGAGGAGCGCGCGCGGCGGGCGAGCGGCCGAGCAATGGAGCTGAGCCTGGAGAGCCTGGGGGGCCTGCACGGCGTGGCCCACGCGCAGGCGGGCGAGCTGCTGAGCCCGGGCCACGCGCGCTCGGCGGCGGCGCAGCACCGCGGCCTGGTGGCGCCCGGGCGCCCGGGCCTGGTGGCCGGCATGGCGAGCCT